TTTTTTTAACTGAATATAGGGAATAGAAGAAATCTGTATTTATTTTATTTTTCTTTCTGTGCGAACGTCACATTGCTCTCATGTTGGCAATGACTGCAACAGTGCTGATTCAATTACTTATTTACATAATCCCTTCAGATTCATTTTGTGTATAATTGATGATGCTGAAAAGATTTCCTAGCTGAGGAAAGCAAGCAGGCCAGTTCTGAAAATGAACAGGCTGAACTGACATAAGAAGATGGTAATTCGCATTAGTACGAACTAATCACACTGTAAATGATAAAAATTAACATAAATACTGACTACTCTACCTGCCCTGAGGAACATTCAGTGACACTAAATGTCCGTTTGCTTGCAGTGTGAAACAAACACCGCACCCATTGCTTGGCACAGCTGAGACCAATTTTATTATCGCTTAATGCATAAATTTATTTTATAGGTAAAAGTTTTTAAAATATTCTTATTTGAATGTTAATGAGTGCAGCACAGTAAGGAGTAAAAACACGGCTTAGAGTATTGCTTGCTGTGGGGATGATGCAGGTCTGGAAATGATCCTGCAATGGGAAAGGAAGAGCAGACAAACACTCTGCACGTACACTGCCTGGAAACACAAAGCTCTGCATTAAGTATTTCTGTAAGATGACTGAGCAGAAAAGATATGACCCTGGAGCAAACCTCTGAAGCAGAGCCTTGGAATTATCAAAGAGAGTGCCAGTAGCTGTTGGGGTGAGGGCTAGCTGTGGAGTCTTGATGATGAAGACAAATATGACAGAAGCTACAAATTAGAAAAAGCCTACTTCTAATTCAGCATAGTGTATGAATAGGTAAGTGTAATGTTTAGCTTAAAGAGGCCAGCTCGTTGTTGCAACTCTCAAAACAGATCTTATTATTTTTATGTTAAAAAATTTAAAAAAAAAAAAATAGATGTGAGAGCTCATATCCATTAAGTTGAAGAGGGTTTACCTGGAAAGGGCTCAGTCAGGAGTGCAGGAAGCAGACTGCACTCCACTAAAGCTCAGACTCCACAGATAAATGTTTGAGAGCTCTCTTGAAGATAGAAACCTATCCTCATCCCTTCTGGAAGATTACGTAGCTGAAGAGCAGCTGCAAATAGGGCTGTTACTGTCAGGGCAATCATTTTTTTTCCCCTGAAAATCACTCTTTCTTTAAATTTCTAATGTTTCTTTTACAGCGATTTAACAGCGTTGCTTCTGATACTGGTATGCTGAAAAATAAATTTAAAAAAAAAAAAATGAAAAAAATCTAAATATTACAAGAAAAACTTACAGTACTTTTTTCTTATAATGTGTCCAGCAGTTTTGCTTACTAATTCAATTCTTACTGTTTCCTAGGGAAAGCACAGACTTTTCTAGAAGAAAAACTTTTTACTCCCTGATGCACAGAGAGCCCTAGGAAGCTCGCAGACAGGTCTTGAAGGTCCCAAAAGCTATTTCAGCCATCAAAAGTAGGATTTGTATTGACTGTGTGTTAGAAATCTTTGAGGATGTTAGAGGTGTTCCATTTGCATTGATGCCTCTGAAGCTGCATGTTATTTACATCAGCTTAAAACCTGATCCATGATTTTCTAAATATTCAGCATAATTTTCAGCTCAGCAGTTGATTTGCCACTCACGGACTATGAGCGTGGGTGGTTAAGAAGACAGAGAGCCACCTTCATGCTTCAAAACACTTTCATTGTAGATACGATCATTAAAAAGAGTAACTGTTTGGCTAATGCTGAAATCCGATGTAGGCTTGTTATACAACTTCAGGGGAAATTTTATCTGAATTTGAAATAAAGGTGTTTTTTTGTGTTAACTCTGTTTTGTGTTTTTTGTTGTTGAGTTTTGTAACTCAAGCTCATTTACCAAGATGCCTGATGCACTGTTAGCATTAGACAATTTCACTGTAGTAAAACAAAGTATAATAGTACAATTGAGGAGTATACTCTATGTAAAAGATTATTTTGGTTCCTATGAAATTACAGCAACGTACTGGAGGCTGGGGAAGGAGAGAGAAAATAGAATAACTTTTCACTAAGTATTACTACTTAGTTTAGGACAGCAAATGGATGTAAGAAAGATACAAAACACAGGCAAGGGAATGGGGACATGAAAATTAGCTAAAACACGTGGTCTGCTATTCCTCTGTGAAATGTGCCAAAGAATCTGAAATAAATGTGAGTGGGTTCCATGGCTCAGCACTGGCTCCTGTGCAAGAGGCAAGCTAGATTCAGTCCTAGCAGCATCAGGTGTTTTTTGGAGTTTTCCTACACAAGCAGGGAAAACCTCAAAATTGCTTCATCTCCAGGTCTCAAGGTAATCGCAGCTGAAAAATGCTGCTTCTCAAGAGCATTTATTTCCCTTCTGAAGAAAGGTTAACACTGACTGATCTTGGATGGAAATAATTCACGAGCATGTGAAAAATAGGGAACATTGCTGTATTTCAGTAAAATTTTCTCAGAGAAGTATCTACATATAAAGTAAGTTAAGATTCAAATAAATTGCTGTTGTGCGTTTAGTTATGGAAAAAAATAGTTATCTGTAACTTGAATGTCTCATTTAGAATGCTGCTTATTATCACTTTTAATGCAATTTAATACTTTTGTGGTTTTGTGTCCCTATAACGTGCTTTATAGGAATGAGTAACATGAGCTTTATTTTTAAGCTTAGCTTTAACAGAACCAATTTAGCAAGTTTTGCAATTTGTCAGAGGCTGTTTAAACAAGGAAAATATTCTCAGTGCCACTGACTGGCATGCACGGATACAACAAGCTTTACATGTTTAAAGAGAAGAAGGAGCTAGGATAACGGGTTTGAGTTATATTACACGTAATCCATATGTTCTCTGTCACCAAGTGATCTGTTTCCTCACTCTCCGCTCCAGAAACTATGGGGAAAGTTATTCAGAAAAAAAAAAAATAAATCCTGCAGTAGGCATTATAGAAAACGTTGCCTGTGTCTGTTGACCTATGCAAAACGGTTTCCTCACTTACTCTGGAAAGCATCCAGTGTGTTTGTTGGAGGGGATTATCCTGACACATTGCCGGCATGTTGTCACGCTGTCAATCTCTACATGGTGATGACATTTGACCTGTTAAGAATACATAAACAGTATTTAGATTTTAGGCTTGTAATCATCATTTGCTTGAAATCCTAACGGATGGAAGGCCCACGCATCTGCATGACACACAGTTTGGGTTTGGTTTCCTACCAATAACCGAGACAAATCCCCTCCACGCTCCAAAAGCATGGGTCATCTTGGGTGCAGCTGGGGTTGGTACACCAAAAGGCAGGCAGACCTCAGGGTTGTGTGCTTTGTTCTTTGTGTAACAGGGGGCACAATATGGCAACACCTCTACCTCCACCATCTTAAGGAACAAGAGGTACAATATGGCAACTCCACCACCTCCACCACTTTGGGTAACAAGGGGCACAATAAGGGAACTCCCACCACCTCCACCATCTTAGGTAAAACGTGGCACATCTGGGCCAATCACTCATCTCCACCATCTTAGGTAAAACGTGCCATAACGTTGCAACCCCTTTCAACCTCCATCATCACAAGTAGTATAGGGTACAACAAGGCAGCCCCTCCACCTCTGCCATTTTAGGTAACAAGGGGCACAATATGGCAACTCCCACCACCTCCACCATCTTAAGTAAAACGTGGCACTTCAGGGCCACGCCCTGTTTTCCACCCTCTTAGGAAAAATGTAGCACATGAGGGCCACCTTCCATCTCCACCATCTTATGTAAAATGTGGCACAAAATGGCAACCCCTCTACCTCCAACATCTTAGGCAAGAAGGTACAAAACATGGCAACCCTTCCACCTCTGCCACCTTAGGTAACAAGGGGCAGAATATGGCAACCTCTCCACTCCCAACATCTTAGGTATAAGGTGGCACATCAGGGCCACCCCCCCCCATCTCTACTATGTTAGGTAACAAGGGAGTACAAGGTGGAAACCCTACCACTTCTGCCATTTTAGGTAACAAGGGGCATAAGATGGCAACTCCCACCATCTTACGTAGAAGGTGGCACATTAGGGCCACCCGCCCATCCCTACTATCTTAAGTATCAATGTGGTTTAGGTAAAATGTGGCACATCATGGTCAGCCTCCCATTTATACCATTTTAAGTAAAAAACTGGCATAATATGGCAACCCTTCGACCTCCACCATCTTATGTACTACGGGGCAGCTGCCCAGGGAGGTGGTGGAGTCACCATCCCTGGAGGTCTTTAAAAGACGTTTAGATGTAGAACTTGGTGATATGGTTTAGTGGGGACTGTTAGCGTTAGGTTAGAGGTTGGACTCGATGATCTTGAGGTCTCTTCCAACCTAGAAATTCTGTGTGATTCTGTGTATGGCAACCACCCTACCTCTAACATCTTAGGTAACAAACTGCACACGGCAGCCCTTCTACCTCCGCAATCTTAGGTAAAAGGCGGCACATCAGGGCCACTCTCCCCCTCACCTCCACCATTTTAGGTAGCCAAGTGGTACAATGTGGCAGCCCTTGCCACCTGCACGTGTTTGGTGTGGTAAGGACTGAGGGAGGAAGGCTGTGACACGTTTTATAAATAAAGTCTCAAACATTGTTCTGTGCTGAGGGTGATTTATCTGGTGTTTGTGAAAACGCTGGCCAAAGGCAGACCCTTGGGCACCCCCATCACCCTTGGGAGACACAGGTTCTGTTATTGTTCGTCCCAGACACTGGGGAGTGCTTTTGGGAGCCTGTTTATTCATGGTTTGAAATGAAAATAGCTTATATATATTCTATACTTTTTCTTTTTGTTAAATCTCGTATATATTAGCCTTGATTGTGCTTCCTACTCCTAAACCCCCCTCTTCTCGCTACAGAAGCCACCGCGTTTATTTCAGACGCGTTTCACACGCAGCTCCCCCTCCACCTCTCCCCCTCGGCCCGGAACCCCCGGCAGCCGCCACAGCTTCGCGGCGGGCCGGGACAGGAGCGGACCCCGCCCGCCGCCGGCCGTGCGGAAGGCGGAAATGATGGCGGCGGAGCGGCGGGGCTGAGCGGTGCCGGTGGCGGAGCGGAGCGGGGCGGCCCCGGGCCCGACATGGCGGGCGGCGGCGGGGCCCGGCTGGGGCTGGGGCTGTGCTGGCTGCTGGCCGCGCTGGCGGCGCTGGGCGCGCAGGCCAAGGTGGGCGCCGTGCCGGGGTTTGGCGTTTTGTCAGCGGGGATTTTGGTAGTTGGGGGCCTGGAGCGCCGCGGGAGGGGTTTTCCTGCTGGCCCTGTGGGGCTGCTCCGAGTGGGTCGGTCAGTGCGGTGGTTTATTAGCAAGGGTCTTGCTGAGTGGCTTCTAAACGTGTGGTAATTCATAAAAAATAAGAGGGTGGTTTTTCGTGCGAAGAATGTAGTGTTTGCTATCAAAAATGTGTTATTTGACAAATTATTGCTTGTTACTTCCATGTCAGTAACGTTGAAAGTCAGCTCTTGAACATGGCAGAAATCCCGAGTTAGGCTGTTCAAAGATACCTGCACACGCTGTGTGTTGGACATTTCATGTATTTCGTAAACATAATGCCTTGTTCGGCCCTGTTCTGTGTGCGATGGTTTGCTCTCAGCACCTTGTTTTCCTCACAGAATTCCGAGGACGTCCGATGTAAATGCATCTGCCCTCCCTACAAAGACCATTCGGGCCATATCTACAACAAAAATGTTTCGCAGAAAGACTGGTGAGTGGGTAACCAGAAGTTATAAGGGATCTCAGTGGTTCAAGGTGTGTTCTGCTGTGCTTACACGTGATGCCAGGAGAAATTACATTTCTTGCCTAACGTATTGAGCCCTTACATTTAAAAGTATTCCAGAATTCAGCTGTAGCAAGAGACAAGGCTTGAAATCTTTAATTTTTCTCTGTCTTCTATTTCGGGTCACTTGTTTACATTCTCGTTTGTTTATCGTAGAAGGGAAAAGGGGTGTTTTGGTTTGTGTTCAGTGATAAGAAGTTGCATCGTGGTGAGGAAGCGTGTGCATAGAACTGGGACTCAAAAATATTCTCTCTTCTTTGATTTCTCTTTCTTTCATTTCTCTCTTGAAACCTGTACTATTATGTGGGGATTGTTTTGGAGATTTGTTCCTCAGAGTCACAGGCAAAGAATGCAGTTATATGAGGTGGCCTGAGCCATCTAATAACCTATGCTTCCTGCGAGGAAGAGAATTACTGCTTTACTCTGTCACAACAGCGTGCCCTACTGTAGTGTTTAGGCCAGCTATGGCATTTGCCAGACCTCTTTGAGCTGAGGACTGTTGTGCATGGCCAGGGTTGAGGGGCTGGGGAAGGAAGAGGGATGACAGTCATTTATAACAGCATATTTTGAAGTTGCATTGATGTCTGACGTACTCAGGAATTCTTGGATCAGCCTATAAATATGTGAGGTACGTTTTGATATGTTGACTCTTCTTCAGAAACATTAAGAATTAATAAACGACTTTTCAGTCTGTTGAGTAGCAGAGGGTTAGAAACTTCGTTATGAAATTGTCATGCCCCTCAGTAGTCCTACTGAAATAGCTACAGGAATAAAGTTAAGGATACAAATGTGTACAGAGTCATGCCTTAACTTATTCAATTACTTACAGAAGAATCGTAAGAAACATTGCTGTAAGTTTCAATCCAAGCTAATGAACACTGAACGTACTGTCTAGTCTAAAGTAATATTTTGTCCTATATGATTACCTTAACAACATTAGGCCTGCGGACAAATTAAGATGCAATAGTGAGACGTACCGAGAGAACTGCATCTGCAGCAGGCATTGCAGAGCAGCACCATTACTGGCTTTCTTGTTTATTACTCCTCTGCAAATGGAAATAGATTTTTTTTTTTCAGTGGGTGTTGTTAGTGTTTGTCTTACTAGCAGAAAAGACCCTGTTTCCCTTTAAATCAAGATTGGCAGTGACTGAAGTTACCTTTGAACTCTTCACTAATCTTACAGTGACAGATACTTGATGCTTACAGAATCTCAGAAATCTATTTTCTTATCTTAAATCTCATTTTGTTGAGATGATTTCTTAAGAGACCACACGGTAACGTTCTATGGTTTTGATCTTCTATTTGAGATGCCTTCTCTGTGCTTTTAAAAGGCTTGATTGTTGGTTCATGTGCAATGAGATTGACAAATTTAGTGCTCTACTTGGGCGTCTGCATCTTGCAAGTGACTTGTTATTATGTGGAACTGCAGCATCCTTGAGGCATTTAGATCTGTCACTCATGACACAAGAGCCAGATCAATTTTTAGTGTCCCTGTGAACTATGCACATTATGATGGCTGCTTACTGCCTGCTTGCCCAGACATAAAATAACAAAATAATTTTTAATGTTGAACCTGAAGCCTGCATCATGATATTCTTATTTTTAGGTGTTTCATTTCTTCCAGTGGAGTTGTCTGCTCTTCCCACCCCACAGACCAGCAAACAGGGCCTTGTGCTAACATCAGTACGGGCTGAGGGTGCTCTGACACCACTAAAAGCATTCACCATTCTAGCCATGGAACCATTTCAGGCAGTCCAGTCCCGGTGAATGATGCACTAGAGAAGTGTAGCGATGTGTTGGCAAGCACATGGTATCAAGTTAAATAACCCACGTTGAAAGAAATGTGTTGGCGTTTCATGTACCGGAGGCGAGCTGCTGTGGTAGTCATCAGCATAGGTGGGAGGGAAGACACCCTGTCTGCTAGTGGGAGCAACTGGAAATCAGCAGAAGCTGCACTTCTGAGTAGCCTAGCCTCCTTGGTGCTGTTACTGTGGGTACAGGGGAGAATGTGGTAAGGCAGAGGCAGTTGGGTGGGAACATCCTTTAAGGAAAGGATCAGCCTTTTCCACTTGAAACACTGAACTAGAGAAAAAACTTGCTGATGCTAATATATTTACAGTAACAAACTTCCTACTGTACCTAAGCAAAATGCAGGCTTTATTCTACAGCATATTGATGCCAGCTTTCAATCTCATGAGATCATAACTTGTATTTTGTGGTTTTGCATCCTACGTGCTGCACAGAGATCGTAATTCTAATGACAAATAAAAGGAAAAACAAATCCCTCCGTTCCGTTCCAGAGATTGTGACATAACAGTCAACAGTTTTAGTTATGAGGAGGAAATACAAACAGAACTGAAGTGATGAACTGGTATCTGGCCGTGTGGATTTGCAGCATTTTGATTTAGCTCAGTGCAGTGTTAAATCAGAGGCTGCTGCTGTCATGTCAGGCATTTGGTTTCATTACCTGCTTCTGACTCTGCTACATTGAGTTGACAGGGATGAAAGCGAAACATGCTTTTGTTCCCTAAGTGCTCTGCTGAGAGCATAGAATATTAACTGAACAACCAACCTGAGTCATCAAAAAGATCAAAATTATAAGTTATTGGTGGAAGGAGTTGTCTCATGGCAACTGGATTTTCGTGCTGTGGTATAGAATATTGTCAGTAATATTGTCAACCCCACTTTTTGGCATGAGGAATGTCTTACATTTTGTAATCTTTAAGTCAAAGTAGATTTTCACATCCAGTTCCAGTGCTTAAAACGGAACACTGTTTATTCAGTATGTCACTGCTTAAAGAAACAACTCATCTGACAGTGAATTGTATTTAATGACTGTAAGACCCAGTGTTAAGAAAAAAGAACTTCCCTTCATGAACACCAAGGGGAGGTTAATCTTCTTTTACATACTGGAAGACCAGAGTAAAGCTCTTTTAGTGTGAAGAAAAAGAGTGCATTATAGTTGGAATTTACTTCAATCTGGGATGGCAGTGTCAAATGATGCATGTGTGCTGGGACTCTAATCCTTAGATTTGTTATGCTGACAGCTTTATTTCCAGTCAAAATATTGTGTTTAGTTAGAAGGATCTTAAAAACTTGTTGAGCAGCTTGTCAATAGCTGAATTTCTTGTTTAAGTAAAATAATAGTGGAGTAATGATTAAAAAAAATCTTGAGTATCTATAATTTAGAACAGCTGTGCTTAAGCAAAGGTGAATTCTCAGCCAACATAACGGGTCTGCATGCATCTGAAGATGTGAGAACTGCCTACATAGGGGCAAAGTCAGGTAAAACCATCTCAGAGCTGACTGAGCAGTTCCTGTCTCTCTTCAGTGATTGTCTTCATGTGGTTGAGCCTATGCCTGTCCCTGGACCTGATGTAGAAGCATATTGCTTGCGTTGTGAATGCAAATATGAAGAGAGGAGCTCTGTCACAATTAAGGTAAACAATGTAATTCTGCTGGGATATGTTAAATCCTTTAATTGATTAGTAAATATATCTATGGGCTTTTAGAGAAACAACCCTTTATGAAGGGAGAACTTTTCTAAAGCAGTCTAAGAGTTATTTATTTTTCTTGATAGCTGTTCATGATTTGTTTTGAGCAATAACGATAATATCAAGCTGTAGCAGGAGTAGGCTCACGAACCTTTATCAAAGATCTCCAGTTTTGAAATTAAGCTTTATGCCTTGCTGAAATTCTGAGTTTTCTAGGGCATTTTGTCAAGCTTTGGACTTGATGTTTTTGTTACTGTTTTAGAAGGTCTCTTATTATTCAGCTATCTTGCTTGGTACAAATATTCTTTCTATTTTGGCAAGCTACAGAGAGCAAAATCAGCCAAATCAATCATGTTTGCTCTAGCAGGGGATTTCTTTATTCACGTTCTCATTCTGTTAGAACCACTGAGCCTTAGTCTGGGTGAATACATTTTGTAGTGCATCTTCTATTATATTATTTCTTTTTGGTATTCTAGAATTTTGTTGCTTTTTCTCCTTTCCATTTTTCTTACTGGCCTCTGTGACTGTTTGCAGTCTAACCCGGCAGATTTGTGCTGGAGAACAGAGATCATGCAGGAACCCCTACATTTGTGACCCTAGTTTAATGCCCCTTAGGAACAGTGGTCTGATTGAGGTGAGGTAACGCCAAATTATTTTAAGAGTGATAATGCAGGCTTTTAGCAAGGCCTCATTAAGAGAAGCTTTATTTCAAGCTCATTTATCTGTCTGTCCCAAAACTGTAATGCCAATTTAATAAATTGACGGCTCTTCTCTGTTCATGGGTTTTAAGTCGTCTTGTGACACTAGTAAAAGCCAACAGGCTCATCACAAACTTTGTACTGTTCCTTCAGTCCTTGCAGCCTTTTGAGAGATTGTGGAGGTAATGGCACAACTCTGGCATAAATTGTGTTTGTGTTGTGCAGGTTACAATCATCATATACCTGTCTATTTTGGGCCTGCTTCTTCTGTACATGGTGTACCTCACACTGGTGGAACCTATCCTGAAGAGACGTCTCTTTGGACATTCACAGCTCATACAGAGTGATGAAGACATTGGGGTGAGTTCACCTGACTGCTTGTATGTTTGGGTTAGTGTAAAGATTGGAATGATTAATTGTTACATAACTGTTCTGAACAGCTTTTTTTGCATGGCAGTATAAATTCCTTTCCCTGAAGGGAGGGGATGGTCTTCACAGGAGTCAGGAATCTGTATGACGACTGTGGAAGCCACTATTTCATTTTTCACTGGGCTTAAAAAGTAGTCACAAGGACTGCTTTTATTATCCTGCCTCTGTACACAGATTCTGTCCTAACTGAAGGAGCAGAGGAATGGAAGTAAGCTCATACAGGAGGTATGAGTTCTGGTGTGTTGCCGATCAATACAGTCTCCCTGGAGATCAAATTTTATGCAAATTGGTTACAAAAGCAAAGTATATGCTGAGGGACTACGTCTTCTGTTGCTCTGGTTTGGATTTGCTGATGCTAGAAATTCAAGAAGGAATAATTGTAATGAAGGAATATAGTAACTGATGCTGAAACAATTACTTTGTATTACAACTGAAAAACAGAATGTGGAAATAGATTCTCACAGATCAGAGCAGCCTTTCTTGTGAGGAAAAGGAGAGTAGTCCATCCATGGCAAATGAGAGGGCGTAGTTTCTTGTCTCTTACTGTCCTTCCCCACCTTCAGCACACTGTTTTTGGCGTCAGATAAGAATGGAACAAAATTTTCTTTAGTACCACTACAGGAAGGGAGTGCAAGAACTTAGGAAACTTTGTGTTGGAAACTGTGAGATGCTTCAGTATGGGGAAGACTGGTGGGAGTAGGTTATTTTTGTCTTGAAGAGGGCATTAGAGTAGTATGAAAATACAGACTATCGCTCTCTAACTGTACGGAGTTCTATGAAGCTGTTGAATCGGCTTGCTTGGGAAAGTTATTGCCGTAAAATGATGTAGGGAATGTATTCTAAACAGCAGCGGGGTTGGTGGTTAAATGTCAGTGTTGAACCATGTGAAATGCTAAAACAGTGCAGAAGTCTCAGCATCAATGTACTTTTTATACTGAGCCCCTAAGCAGTGCTGTTTCTGCTGGTAAAGTACACATCAGGTGTGGCATCGCCTTAGAAAGAATTTCTGAAACCAAACCCAGCCTCTGAAACAGGAAGTTTTTCCATCTGCTTAACCTAAGTCCTTCAGCAGACACGAGCACTTCAGAGTAAGTACTGTTGAAATAAAAGTGAGCTAATCGGAACGATTAGCATTTATTAGTGTCGTACAATAGGATCCTTAAAGATGGTTTTGTCACTCCTTCAAGATAACGGCCTTTGTTAGCTCTGCCACCTTTACGTACTTTGATTTCACAACAAAAATATGTGATTACCCAAATGTCACCTAATGGTTTTTGAAATAGAGCTTATTCTGACAGAGGCAAACTGTGTCCCACTGTTTCTGCACTTCCCCACGTATTATATAGAGATATGCTTTGTATGTGTTGACATCTTAATATTTTCCCAGTCACTTGTAAGAGGCTGTTAGCATTTTTTGGAAAGGAGGGGTTTGAATGACTCCTTTTTCTGCCTGCATCCATACAGAAAACTGGGCAGATTCCTAGTTGAGTTAAATGAACGTGCTATATGTTATACCTGAAACAAATTATTTCTATTTTATACCTTAGTTAAATTATTTTAATACCTCCAAATCTGGGCTAGAATTCTGACTGAAGGTGGAGGGAGGACATGAAATAAATCCAGTGGCAGAGCTCACGTTAACTGCAGAATGAAATTATCTTAAATTCTGGATCCATCTTAATCAATTTTATGTTTTGCTGTAATGTACCGTGACTCTTAAGTGTGCTTGTGAAGTCACTTGTATTTTTACTGCAGCAGTGCCTGGAACAAAAAGCACTGAATCTTCTTGCTTAGTTCATGTTAACTCATTTCACATCGTCCCATCTGTGAGAGTGAATGTGAAATAAGTGAAGGTCGTTCATGGCTTTGCCGTTTCCTTGCCTTCCCTCTTGCAAGTTCTTCAAATATTCATCCTTGTCTTGCTCTGGAAATATCATCTACATCGATTTTGTTGCTCAATTTTGAACTAATGTGCTTTTTCTTACTGCCCATTGGTGGCAGTGGCAACTAGTAAATGTAAGCCACTTTGAGAGACCTCTTTGCTTTTAAATTCTTTTTCCTCGTTTTTTTTTTTTTAACACAGAAATTGACAGTAGCTAGCCTTTGAGCTGAGATCCTTATCAGACTATCCAGTGCTTTCTAGCTTATTGAATGCTCTCCCTTCCTCTGTCTATTTTATGGTGGAAGTGTGTTGCTATTGTGGTGTTTTTTCCCTGTGAATAAAGTGATCTCTAATCTTCAAACTTACCATTCTAGGTATATCCAGCTGCGTAATCTTTTATGTAAGGTCATAGCTTGGGTCAGGCATCGGCTCTTGCTCTGGTTTAGTGTATTTCCTAGCTCAGAGAGGCCTTTGTGTGGCTTTGGGACTTGCAGATGTTACTTTAATGGATAATCTTTGTACTGCTAAGAATTATCATTGAGCTACTAGGCACAGAATCATGTCACAAATACAGTATCCATTCATGCAAACATCTTCAAAAGCATTCTGGAACAACAACAACAAAAATTGTATGAGGTTTATATGCACCAAAGGGCAATCAGTTATTTAACGTGGGACGTAGTTATTTTTTTCATTATTTTTTCATTAGTCATTGTATACCTGATGCTTTCTGACATAGCTTTAGAACCATGACTTTGTCCAAAACATCTTGACAACCAATAAGTTCAGTTCCAACTCTTACTATTTATAACCTATTTTATTTACTAGTAGAAAATACAGCTTTGCAGGTAGTGTTGGAAAACAGAGAGAGTAAATATTAAACAAGCCCTCAGTTATTGTTGAGCTCTGTCACTTAAACAGCTGTATTTACACTTTGCTTTTGGACAGCTTGGTACAATGGCTTTAGTTTGGTAAACATTGGAGTGTGTTGGCTTTACATAGGATCTTTGTGTGAACATCCTGAACCACCTTACAGTAACAGGCCGAGAAGTGGCAGTGAACCAAAAATTCACACTTAAAGTGAAGTTAAACAAAGTGCTTTCATGACATTAACAGGAGGTCCCTGGCATCTGCGTCTATTCTAGATTTCTGTCCTCAACAGCTAATGATGGATGGCTTGACTGTGCAATGAATAAATTTGTGGATGTTACTTTGAATGAGAAGTTGAAGAACAGTTTTTTAACTACAAAACCTTGCTTTGTCATCATAGCTAACTAGCTGTTTTAAATAGCTTGTTTTACCTTAAAATCCAAAGCAAAAAAAAACACCAACAAAATAAAACCTTCAGTTTCACTGCTCGTTGGAATTGCTGAGGTCTAACTTGATTTTTGTCATTCCAGGATCACCAACCTTTTGCAAATGCCCATGATGTGCTGGCTCGTTCTCGGAGCCGTGCCAATGTATTGAACAAAGTGGAATACGCCCAACAGCGCTGGAAGTTGCAGGTCCAAGAGCAACGCAAATCTGTTTTTGACCGTCATGTTGTGCTGAGTTAATTGTCTCTCAGCAGTAACTCCAAGGAAGTACAGCAGACTAATTGAAAGAACTGACTTATGTCTTCCTGATCCTACCACTTCAGAGGAGTTTTCATAAATGGTTGGTTACTGATTTGAAAAAATAAAAATAGTGCTTAAACTTTGAGAGAATGTTCTAGAGTGGAAGCAATTAAAAAGATTAGCTAATCAGAAGCTAAAAACCTTTGCATTTTCAAATGGCTCTTGCTGATAAAACTGAAGAGAAAACAAACCGTGAGGTAGCTTTGTTTGCCACTGTGGTACCTTATTCACAGTTGTGACTTTATGGTGATTTTTAACTATATATTTCTCTCTACTACTTACCTACTACGTGATTAAAAAGTACCTGGGAACACACTAACTGCTTACAACTCACTAATCACTTTATGTAAAGACCTTTTGTAAATATACTTGGATTTTTTCTGCTGACTAATGCTAGGTACTAGAAATCTAAATCTTGCAGTGTAGTTTCCACATCAGAGAATGAACTCCTGATTGGTTGTATTCATCATTTGGTTTCTTGCACTCATACTTTCAAGATGCTTGTATGTCGAGTGATGCTTGCAGATTTAAGGCAAAACTTAAATGGACACTGACTCGTTGAGCTGCATACTTGAATTACTGTGATGTAGATAAACTCAAATGCAGTGTACATCAAGACAGTGTTGGCATTTTGTTCTATTTTGCTTTAATAGTTTAATATATTGTATGTGTATGATATCTCTTTAAAACAATCTTCTCCCTTTCTTTTCATGGGTAAAGTCTCAGGAGATATATGATGAAATATTTATTATAAAAATCTTTATGCGTTTGTCTGGATTGATGGTGTGAGGCACGTACTTTCTTGGGCACCTGTCATCTTGGGAGTTAGGTGTATTTTTTTATCTGTGATTCTGTACTCATTTCTCTTAAGAGGTATTCAGTTGCTAGATGACTAACTTTCATATATCCCCTTTGGAATGTAACAATTAAAATGGATTTTTGAAAAACAGCTGCACGTTATCTGTATGTCATCATTTTTCTCCCTCATTACCCTGCATGTAGGTTCCACGTATAAAAGCACTTACCTGAAAATGCTTCGGAGTAGAAATATAAAATCGTTCAGTGCTTGGATAAGGGAAGTGGCTCACCAAATTGCTAATTGAAAAAAATTTTTAATGCCTGGCTCAATTTTAGCTAGGCATGTGTAGTTATGCTATTGTATTGTAACAATTTTCATTTCCAGTGTTGAAGGAAATGGTAACATGGAATACTGTTACATATGTACAATACTGTACAGTTTTGGCTTTCTTGATTGACAGACATGGGGACAGAGTAGCATGAAAAATAGACTGTACTTGTATATGTTACTTAAGGGTAGAAATGTAACTGCTCTGTAACAACATTTGCATTGACTACAGCTCTTTGGCAGATTCACTAAGGGAATTTCCCAAAATTGCAGGTATAGTGAAGGTTAAATTTGAGGGTGTTAAGCTAACTGTGTTCTTACTTCTAATCTGGAGACAAATTCATCAAAAATTTCTTCTAAATAAGTATTTGTTTTATGAACTGGAAGTGGAAGCTAAGAAAATGCGTGTTTATGCATTGACATTCTAGCTAAAATGTGATATTTGTATTAAGTATCAAAATCTTAGTGAAGTTAATATGAGGTAATACCCATTTGAAAGGGCTGTAGGCAAAGGTGCTGTGAAACATCTTTGGGCTTCCTGACTCCTGGTTTTTGCCTAGAGAGTAAGAACAAAGGCTAGTGCAGCGCATTGCTCCTCCCTTTTAACCCCCAAGAGGGTATCTGAGCAGTTTCTTTCCCCAGAAAGCATAAAGATGTGGGAATAAGGGCTGATACTTGGGCTTAGTGTTGAGGGCTTGAGATAGAAAAGCAGAAGTGTATTTAAAAGTACTTGAAGTAAAGCAGATCTTGTGAGATGACCATAAAATGTAATATTAGTTTAATCCATACTCTTACTGAAATTGCTGTGTCCGTTGTAATGGTAAGTATTTAACTAAATTCTAGCTGATTGTTCTAATTGGACATTAACTAAATTCTAGCTGATTGTTCTAATTGGACAGTAATGTGTGATAGTCCAATAAATGAAAATGCTACTTTAGTAAACTGCAACAGTGTGCATATAGGGAGTAAACAAAGTACACTCCTGTCTTTTTCAAGTGATCCTGTTTTGTTCAATACAGTTTCAAAATTCCTAGTCCCTAATGCCAAGTCTTGTTGTCATCATAGCTACGGTGTGGGTGGAAAAGACAAACCAGAAATGAGCAGATCTAACTGTAAGCTATTTTGCATGTTGTCAATTGGCTATAAATTGCAGGAGTCATCGACCCAGCGGAACAAGCTTCGTAGTTCAGGTAAGAGACTTGCATATTGCTGTATGTAGCAACAGGTCTTCCCTGAATTTCAGTGTTTCTGTAAAGCACTTCTGTCAGCTAGTCAGTAGCAGTGCTTCTGTAGCCTTCTAATGAGCGGTGTTTAGTATGATCACTTATTACATTAAGATAGAAGAAAACTGGAACGTTAACTTTTTTTTTTTTTTAATATTCAGGTATTTTCAGGTATTATTCATCAGTCTTAAAATCAGCACATCTTGTTTCCTTGGATTTTACTTTCATCTGAAGATTGGTGAGTCTCTAGTCTAATTGGAAGATGAATTTTGCCCTACGTGCAGACAGTAAGGCAACAGATAACTTTTATATTTAATGCTATTGTACAGTACAAGTGTCATTACTAAGCAATAAATGCTGAAAGTATCTCATCTTGAGGGGCTGTGTTGATTTTGTGTTCTTGCTGTATAGTTGTTTTGCTATAAACATTTTTTTGTGATGTAACAGGCTTTTTCATTCTGCCAATGTTTTTAGGTTGCTGCAGTACAAAATTTTAAGAGTAATTCAACTTGTTAGGAAAAAGAAAGATGACTGTCGACTACTTTTGTTTTATAATGAGTGTATATATTCATCTGTGATCTTTCAGCACGTTTATTAATTTAAAATGAATCTGTGCATGCTGTCAGCTTACCTACAGAAATACCTGTTCAAGATGCACGTGACTTTCTGTCTTGTCTAACAGCATGCTATAAATGAATTCTTAACTCACAGGGTTTCTGTAGTGAGATCCATTTTCATTAGAAAACCAGAGGACACTGAATACAGATGTGTTTTGATGGAGTATGTTGTTAGAATAGGTTCATGAGCAAAAATTCCCAATTAAACATGGCAGGTGTGAAATTATTAGAAAACATTAAAATATCTCTGTATCCTTGTGAAGGATGAAGAGAGTCCAAATAATGTTCCAGAACTGCTGTCTGAGCATTGGAAGCTTTGCAAGGTTTTTGTGAGTAGTGGAATCTCAGTGTTTCTAGTAACCTAGTTCATGTTCATGTGCTTTTCCTGTTATAGAGAGTGTAATAGAACCTAAGTGTTTCAGAAAGCCATATATAGGTGAGGAAGAGGATGGCAAATAAGAAGCATTTTTGGATGGGTTTTGTGTTTGCAAGTACTGCTTGCAGTCAGTGAGGATGGATCATAATAAATCTCTAAACTTACTCTAAAACTTTTATGAAGAGTAGATTTAATACATGACACACAAAATTAAGATTGAGATCCCTCCTTCCCTGATAAGTTTTGTATCTAGTCATGATAATACAGAGAGTGAGACATCAACTGAATGGAGAAGAAAAATATTTTGTCTGTGAAAGCTTTTTGGTATGGGTGGGGAGTCTGCTACAGGAATTATCAACAGAACTTTTTAAAGGAGGATTGGGTGGAGAGAATACCTTCAGTGTTGGCCTGGTTTGTCTGTTGTCTGTAAAGATACAAGTTTTGGTGGATTTGAAGCAAGCCACACTTATATGGGGTTCATAAAGGTAGGTCTTGATTTCTGAAGCTGAGAGGAAAGGAGACTGTTTGCTGTGTCCTTTAGGAAGTGGCCTTTTTTCCTTAAATTCTTAAAGTTACTAAGTGATGGTAAGTCCAGGTGAGTAGTTTCTTCTCTTGTTCAGTATGAGTTGTTTAAACCGTTGTGTAATTATGCATTTCCAGGTTAAATGCAGAACCTGATGGATGGCAAAAGCTACTGTAACGTCATGGACAAGTTGGCCATCTGTGCTGACACTCAGTGCATACAGCTCGCTAGGCCTTTCTGTGCAGACCCATTGGTCACATTTCGTGTGTACCCAGAAACACCAAACCAGGTCGCTGGCTCTGAAGATTTGTCCTTCTTCCCTTTCATGTCTGAGCATCTCATCACGGAGAACTTCTACAGCGAGCCCTGCGGCTTTTCCTACCAAGTGCCCCATTCCAGTTACAGCAGAAGTGAGTACTCCTATGGGCCAGCGTTCATCAGAAAGAGGAATGAGAGGGAAAGACAGAGGGTTAAATGTGTCAATGAAGGTTATGCTAAACTGAGGCATCACCTGCCTAAGGAATACATAGAGAAACGGCTTAGCAAAGTCGAGACGCTCCGTGCTGCAATAAAATACATTAGCTACCTGCAGTCTGTTCTGTACAGTGACGCTGTGGCGGCAGAAAAGAATGTCATCGAGCCAAGTCAAGCGCCTAAAACAATTAACAAATAAAACCAGTGTTTGGAGACTATCTAAACTGTCCCTAACCAAGCAAAAGATACCCTGTCGTGGACCTGATAGCTACTATAATTGTTAATAAAATGAACGTTCCTGGAGCATGTAGGAACAGACCGTAATACACATCAGTATCAACCCACAGAAAGGAGTGGTAATGTTGTAGACACTAACAGCACTCAGACTTGAAAAATCTCATCTGAATGGCCTGAGATAATTCATGGGAATTGGAAATCACATCTAAATTGTTACCAATCCAAAAATACGCATGTGAAGTAACAGTATGTACTGTCACAGACTGCATGCTTTAAAATAAAATAAAATCTTTCCGCTGATGAGACTGAGATTCCTTTCATTTTCTGTGATGTTACTGGTTTGCTCTCTCAGGCACCTTGAAAGAATTTTGCTCTAATTGCTAGTGTTTCTGTTACAATGCAAGTAGGCCCTTTTAAAGGTTCCCAGGAACATTGTTAGGAGCCATTGGAAAGGATAACTTACTTTAAAAGAATAACTCAGTCTTTCCCTGTCCCCTGGTCTCTTTCTCTGTATTATTTGGTGGTTTCAACTAATTGGTCCAGAACAGATTTATGTGAAGATGGTGATTATCTTGTAATTAGCAAAGTGTTGTTAACATTTGCTGTACATCAGTCAGTTGTATTGATGCTAACGATTCAGCTGGCAGCATGAGAGCAGTTCGTCTGTGGGTTCAGCAGAACATAGAGAAAAGGGCTACAGACGTGGTAAGTGCTGTCAGTATCCTTGCCCTTAATTGCAGTCATCTCCTCTGTTCTCATGTTTTAATAGCAGCGAATTGAAAAATGCCTACTAAACGCAATTAATTATGTCTCTGTGGAGCATGGTGGGAAATACACAAGGTGTTAATGTTTCTTAAGGAGAAAACAAAGGTTAGGGATCACAGTGGAGACGAGCAGGAAGATTTCTGCATCATACTTTGGCATTTTTTGGTACGTGCTTTGCAGGAAATGGGGAGAACTCACAAATTCTTCCCCTTAACTGTGAAAAGGAGAGGGTTTTTAAAGTGATTTGATCTCAGTTTGTCTCAATTTCAGCCCTTCTATCCTCATTTCAAACCAGTATATTTGTCATATCCTGTGGTGGTTTCTCTGAATCTGACCTGTAGCTTTGTATGATGTGATACTTTTTGGCCATATAATGGTACACAAAAGGACTGGAGGACACTTTGCCCTTTTATAATCCCTTCTCTGCCCCCGCAGTCTTTCATCGCAGTATCTAGATCAGCAGAACTGCGTTTAGGAGTACAAAGTCGAGCAAGTAAGTGGCAGACAAATGGTTAGCTCTGTAGCTGGGTTGCGGCTGTTTTTAGCTGGTCAGGTCAGCACGTCAGTTCCTGGTGGTAACGGTGCTGGCAACCTTCTTAGCAACTGGAAAACGCTGGCAGCAAATGTTTCGTGCATCGACCGGGGAAAAGGGCAAGGTTTGTGCATCGGGACTAAATTCAAATTGCCACGGTTGTGTTATCAGTAGCTGGTAAGCTTGAAACGCTGCCGGGTTCAAGTTCCTGGAACTGTCCAGGGGATCTCACAGAACACAACACAATTGCCTTTGTCAGAGCCCTGTTTTGTACATAAATGGGGGACCTGGTTCTCCTCCGCAGTGACAGCTCTGAGAAGCGTTACAATGGGCTTTAAGGTAGAAGTGGTATTTGTGTTTCTTTGGAAAATGTTACTGACTCCAGTTGGCTTTGGCTTACAGTAGGGAAGTTTGTGTAGTCGTGAGTGAAATATGTGAGTATAACGTGTAGATTTGCTTTCATAGAGACCCATTTTGCAGCAGTTAATTGTCTTTGTGCAGGTTTTGAAATGATACATAATAAGAGTGCAGAAACTCACAACAAGCATTCTGTGTTCGTATCTCTCTCAATAACATTCAAATATTTTTCTAAGTGCCTAACATGAAAGCCTGAACTGTATTTTATAAGGGAAATTAGCCACTCGAAGTTTACATATCCCTGACTTTCCGTTGCAGATTTTACCCTCAGCATGCTGAAAGTTTCTAAGCCAAAAAAAAAAAACAAAAACGAACCTTGTCTAATAAATCTCAGATTATCAGAGAGCATCACGTCATGTATCTTCCTGTGACAGCCTCTGAATAGTTATCACTTGTCACATCTCAGCATCTCATTCTTCCTCATGGCAAGCCATAATCCTACTGTTATAAAACATGACAGGACGGCTGAAAGATCAAAATATTTCCTCTTCATACATCACTATAAATAAAACAAGTAACAGGCAACTGTATTTGAGCATTACATTCAAAAGCTGTCACGTCTGCTTGGCTATGTGAGCTTCAGCTGCAGTTTCTGTTTTAGCTTGGGAAGGTTTGGCTGCCTCTGTGCACAAGGAAGCTTTAAAGGAGGGTGTAGGTGTAAGCAAACAGCCAAATGACAGAGGGGAACAAAAGCTGGAGGTGGGCGAGGGCATTGTTTTCCTTGCCATTTTCACAGCATTTCTAGTTCCCCTGGATGTTTGTGCCCCTTTTATTGGGTAGGGGTTTGATGGGTGACTAAATGTCACGGAGCTCAGTAATAAGGGTTCATCTGATCAAATACCAGACCAGATATTTGAATTCATTTTTTTTTTTTTTTTGTGTGATAATAATTCATAAAAGTTACTGAGTACTTAGTGCATGCCAGCAAGTGTTTGCTTGGGGTTGGAAAATGCAAATATATTGTTTCTTCTCGGCTACCAACAGATCATGATTTAGTCTTGCAGGTAGCTGCTTTTCCACCAGTGGCTCATCCAGAAGGGTTCCAGCCTATGGATCGCAGATATTGCAGTGGGATGCCAGCTCTGGACAAATTCCCGTGCTTCAGTGCCATCCCTCCTGTCAGCCACTGCTGTAGGAGCTCTTTTGCAGCACATCCTACCTGGGTCACCAAGCCCCCTGCCCCCCAGAGGTAAAATTAAGCTCTTGTTTCAGTCTATGGTTTGTTCTTTTGTTGTGATCTTTAAGCACGTTGGAATGTGTCAGGTTAATAAATCAGCAACTTCACCGTCATTTGTGTTTTCCCCTCCCTTGTGCTGGCAGTCTCTAGATGGTATTAACTGAAATGATTTGCTACTCTGCGAGATTTCGGAAAGCAAAGCTTGGAGTAAAACTGCTATCAAAGAAACAGACTTTTATTTGGGTAAATAAAAGCATTTTGCACTAGCAGTGGTCTTCTGTGAAATGGATCCAATGCTTCGTGACAGGGAATTATTTTTCCTGCTTTGAACTTCAATCTGGCATCAACCAGCAGAATTACTTTTCTGCTTTTTCTGTTGTTTCTTGGACTCCCCAGGACAAACCATCAGCTACAGTGCTCTTGAGTACATCTGAACTGTGTCCTCCACTGGAGATGCATCCTTTCTCTTGCCTGATCTTAAGAGTTGTATTGACTTGCTGTGCAAACAGCAAAGCTGCCGGTGGAGGTTCTTCTAGCCTAGGATTCCAGCATATTGCTAGATCCCAAATCAAAGAGAATTGGGTAGGTCAGGCACTTTTTTTTCCAAGAGTGAGGGTTTTTCCCAGCACAGGCAAGTTTTCTGTTTCCTTCCACACTACTGGACCTGCGGGAGTGTTATAAAATGAGGTGCAGTGATCCGGTTCTTACAAGATTTCTTTTTCCTGACCTACAGTAGCTGTTTTCTTACTGCTGGCCCATTTTTCTTTTATTCAAGGTGCCAGTGGATTAACCACTGCCTCCCATCCCCTGGCCCGGCGTGGAGGATGCTGAGCGTATCAGGGAGATCAGGGGGCTTAGAGAAGAATGTCCCTGTTCTGGTGAGGAGGGAACGTGATGGATTTTATTATCGTGGTACTGTGAAAGAGGAGATAGAGGTGAGTGACAGCTGCAGTCATGTGGGTGTGTGTAATCGGGTGTGTGTTGTCAGAGTCAAATCTGTTCACCTGCAGGAGGCAGCTGGGTCATCTGCTGCCGAGTTGGGGGAAGTCAGTGTGACTGCAGCACGCCCCTCTGCGTGTGGCAAGGACCGATCTTTGCACAGCACCTGAGTTTTGGGGAGCCATCTCATTCCATCTCAGCTGCTGCGTGAATTAGAGAGCAAATGACAAGATCAGCTTATGCTCATGGTTATGCTGATCCCTAAAGCTCCTAGTATGCACGATTCCAGGCTGTCCTCATCTGCTGCTTTCGTGGTGTGCTGGCTGAGCATTTTGCATGCATTACTGCCTCAGACATCAGTAATATTGATGGTGATCAGCTCCTCGTGCTACTCAGCATCCAAGCCTGTTTCTAAAAGTGATCAGACTTGGGCTAGGGATCATCATCTTGTACAGAAGATGGGTGCCCACCCACTTTTGTACAAGTCGTGTTGCTGTAACGCCAAGGGTACCGTAGGGGTTGGATGTGGTGCTGTTCCCCTTCCTACCTGCTGAGCTCAGTTACAAGATCTTTGCCTTTAAACCCAAGGTTTATTCCGAACAGTGTTTTCTTTCTGGGAAGGTTGCTGTTGTGTGTAGACACAGAACCATCAACAGCGCAGGAAAAGCGTTGGCGTGTTGTGTACACACTGCCAGCGTGAGGCAGCTACAGACCCGTGGCACGGTGTCTGTCCAGAAACGCTGGTGAAAGCTTTGCTTCATTGCTTTGGTAGCATTTCAAACGGAACAGAAAAATGTCTGTTCTGTCTCAAGAACAAGGAAGTGCCTCCTTTCGTTGTTGGTGGAAAGTGTCTTGACAGGCCTTAGCCAACAAGAAAATCAAAATTTCCAACAACTTCCCAAAGAAGCAGTGAGTTAATGGATATAACTTAGGCGTAGGACAAGGTCTATGTGACTGCTAATCACAAGGGGTTGTTTTCTCGCAGGTGGGGTTGTTTTCTTGCAGTTGTTTGTCTGAGTGCTTTTGACCAATAATCTTGTGTGAAACACTGTCCACCCCTGTTAAGTTCTCTATAAAAGTTAGGCTATTCGGGCAATAAAATGGAGCATGATCAGACTCTACTGGTGTCTGTTGTGCTTTCGGCCGTGCTTCCTGCAACATATGGCGCCCGAACAGGCTGAGACCTGAACAGGGCCTGAACAGGACATCGCAGCGGGAGACCTGACCAGGACCTGCACAGACATCGCACCGGAGCAGGACATCGCAGCACCGGAGCAGACATCGCAGCCGAGCACGGACATCGCAGCGGCGCCGGGGCAAACATCGCAGCGCAGCGGACACCAGCGGCGCCGGCACATCTGAACGCAGGTAGACCAGGAGACCAGCGGCGCCGCGATCTCGCCGCGCCGTCGGACTTCGGAGCGCCCATCCGACCGGCGCTTGAGCAGACCGGACACCGGCCCGGAAACATGGTACACAGGCCTCACGGTGAGACGCGGTACTCCCGCTGAGAGACGCGTGAAAACGGTGGGAAACGGGGTTTTGCGGCGAGACGTGGAATTGCGGAGGGCCGCGGGTAAACGGAGTCGCGGCGGACGTGGAATTGCGGAGGGCCGCGGGAAATTGACGTGATCGCGGTGCGATGCGGGACATCCGAGATCGAGCTGCTACGGGAGACCAGAGGCATCAGCGGACAACGGCAGCCGACCCTCAGCGTGTGGCGAGTCGGCACAGAGCAGAGGGGCGGACATCAGGACCCTGCAGCCTGTCTGACGTGACCATGGAGGCAGCGGCGGCTGTGCTGAGCGGCTGTGCTGCTTCTCTCTGGCATTCTTTTTATAAGAGGTTTATCTTGCAATGCAAAAAAGACTCTTCGTCCCCAGATCGGTGTTATAACTATGTTTCTGGATAACATTCCGTGGGGTGCCTCATTCTACGGACTATTAATGACGATTTAGCTCTATTGCGGGGCAGGAGTGCAGAGACGCAGCTTACACTGCCAAATGCCCACCGGCAGGCTCGTTCACAAACAGCTTCTAGGATTGCAGCCGGCACTGCCTGCAGCCGTATAGCAGACGTTACACTCTCTTTCCTAACTAGTAATCATGTGTCTCATCCATTTGTGGTGAATGGTCAGTGGCAAAAAGAAAAGGGGGAGAGTAAGGGGCGGCAAAGACAGAAACGGTACCAGGAGGATGCCACTGACACTGACAGCACGGGTAATAGGAGTAGTATAAGTGACATAGGTGCAGGGCGGCGGCAGGCACTGCCGCGCTGTGGGGCGCTCTGCCTGCTGCTCGCCCTCACCTGCCTGTGCACTGCTGCCGACAGTGCTAGAGCAAAATGTGAAGACTGCTCAGACGGCAGTGATGAGAGTGCTTTGTGAAGAAGACGTGTGCTGAATCTGACTTTGTGTGCAACAGTGGTCAGTGTGTGCCAAACAGATGGCAGTGTGATGGGGATCCGGACTGTGAAAATGGGTCTGATGAGACTGCTGATCTGTGTTATATGAGAACATGCCAGGTAAATGAAATCAGCTGTGGCCTCAGTCAACCCAGTGTATCCTGGTGTCCTGGAAATGTGATGGTGAAAAAGACTGTAACAGAGATCCTGATTGCAAGGATGGAAGTGATGAAATTAACTGCCCTTCTCAGACCTGCAGGCCAGACAGTTCAGATGTGAAGATGGGAACTGTGTCCATGGGAGTAGGCAGTGCAGTGGTGTGAGAGACTGTCTGGATGGCACTGATGAAGCAAACTGTAACGATGTTATTCAGTGCTCAGGACCTGGCAAATTCAAGTGCAGAAGTGGAGAATGCATAGATATCAACAAAGTGTGTAACCAGCAGAGAGACTGCAAGACTGGGGTGATGAGCCCCTGAAGGAATGCAACATACATGAATGTGACTGTCCAGCTGGGTTTGAGTTTGTAGACAAGAGAAACTGTGGAGATATTGATGAATGTCAAAACCCTGGTATCTGTAGTCAAATCTGTATCAACCTGAAAGGTGGCTACAAATGTGAACGTAGCCGTGGCTATCAGATGAATCCTGCTACAGGAACTGGGAAAGGGCCATACCGGTACAAAAACACAAATAACACCTGTGATTACAATGACGCTGCTAAGCAGGGTTTAGGGGTTTGTAGCATGGAGACAAGGGGTAACAACTACAGTGTTTGGAACAATTGTGCAGCTTTGGCCTTACCTCCTGATGTGCTTCTGATTTGTGGGGATGGGGCCTGGCAAGGTATCCCTGCAAATGCTGTCAGATGTCCATGTTACTTAGATAAACTCATTGTATTTGCTCCTAGCTTGCTACAGTTGCGTGAGATCACCAGACATAAATGGCATTGCTTGCATCGGATTGCAATGATAATGTTGAATTGTGTGGGGTTTCAGCTAGAGCGGTATTAGCAATTTCAGTGCCTGGAGTGACATCTGTGGCCGCACGTAACAACTTAGAAAATGGAATGCTGGGCCGAGAGGCAAGCTATGCCACGACAGAGATACTTGAGGAGATGTTACCAGATCAAAATAGTCTGCGACATCTGCTTTTACAGGATCAAGCTGCTATTGACATCTTGCTTTGGCTCAAAGGAATGGGTGTGAGGACTTTAAGGGAATGTACTGTTTAAACCTTTCTGATCATAATGAGTCAATTCACAATCCATTACTTTCCTGAAAGAGCATATGAGAAATTCAGTATGGTATCAATCCTTTCAATCAATGGTTCACTGACTTGTTTGAAACAAGGTGTAGATGGTTGCTGGGTTTAGTCACAAGGGGATTAAGGATTTGGTTTATGGTGGTGGTAATCATCGTTGTGTGTTGTAAGTATAGCTATAGAGTCACTTGTAAAACTGCTGTGTCGGGCTTGGTTTGCTCAAAAGAAGGGGGAATTGTTGAGGGATTTCTTGAAACAGCAAATCCCATGATGAGGAGCAGGTCTGAGCAGCTTCTCTAGCCCCGGTGTGTGCAGAGTGTGGTTTGTCAAATCCAGTTGTGCTCTGCCTCTATAGGATTTTTGGCAGGGATGGGATACAGGTCCTAGCTGCGGTGAATCTGTACATGTGCTTCGCTCGGCCTGCTTTCTAGTGAGCCTCCCGGCACTTTCTGTGTCTGTCTAAATTCAGAATTAAAACCATGCCCAAGTTCAGGCTTGCTTGGTGCTCCGACCCAGCCACACAGCCACAGGAAGGCTGCTGACGCAGGTTGTGTGACCTGACGCATCTCGGTGTGTGTTTCAGAGGAACTGTTTTGTTCCTGCTAACAGAATGAAAGAGGAGTGTTCCTGGTAGAGTTTGCTGAGCCATTTCGGTCACAAGGAAGGCCTCCAGTCTGCCTGCAAAAAACAGTGAAGGATGACATCCTGGAGTACACAAATGGTATGAAGCACTCCTTACTCCCTGGAGACAAAGTGCTGGCGCCTTGGGAAGCAGATACGGGGAGGTATGGCCCAGGAACTGTCCTCACGGGCATTGAGACGAGGGACCCCTTGCGAGGTAAGAAAGATTCTGCCCTTATCTTGCTTGGGAACACAGGAGACTGTTGGGATAAACTCTGTTGTGGTGCTACTGACAGAGAACTGAGCGCACGCCGTAGTTTAGCACTGCTTACTGGCTTCCAGGAGGTGATGGAGCTGCTGGGATCTGTACGTAACCTCGCCGCTCTGACCCGAAGGAGGTTGTGACCCATAAAAATGTCACCTTCCGTATCCACTGATGGGTTATTTCCTGTATGCTCAGACGAGGCTGTGTCTGTTGTGTGAAGGACAATGGCATTTTCCTGAGAGATCTAAATGTGGTAGCTCTCAGGAAGCATCCATCTGTGCTAGAGTGCTCGTGCCTGCGCTGAGTGGTACATCCTGAGGGTGATCTTATCACCCAAGCATGGCATTTCAACAGCTCGGCCATTCTCCCATGTCTGACAGGCTCTGCTGACTTCTCAAAATCCTGGTAAAATGTCCTCAGGGTGTTACTGCTCTCTTTGGCAGCGACAACGAAGGTAACTCAGCCAACATTTACATGCTCCTTTGTTAGAAAACTGGAAGGAAAGATGCAGTCAGGCCCCTTGCCATGCTGAAGGTGCCCCCAGCTGCCCACTCTGCATGCCACAAAGTCACGATGAGTTGTCACAGTAAGGGGCGATGGTTGGTCCTGCCACTGGCATGAGGAGAAAGCCTGCATAAAGCTGCAAAGCCTGAGCTGTGTGTGCGCACCCTAGGCAGAACAGCTGCTTACGGCCGCTTGCCTTTTCTCTCAACAGCCTCAGAAGATGAAGAAATTACGGTCCGGTTCTGGAATGACAAGAAAGTGAAACTCCCTCTAGGTGTAGCTCTGTGGATCCCTCCTAGCCTGTGTGGGAGAATCGTGGAGATGATCCACACGCCCTTCACCAGCGGGTTAAGGCCCAGAGCAAGTCCTGACACTAGTTGTTGTGTTTTTTCCTGCAGTCCTAAAACAGCCCTGATTTCTGTTTGTGCTGTGCATGGTTTTGCTAAGCACAGCTTGCTCTGCCCACCCTGCTGGCCACTTTTCCCCTATCATTGTGGTTGTACATCAGCCTGTGTCAGGTGCATCTGCTGCTGCCGTCCCTGTTCTGATGCCTGGTGGCCTCTTCCACCCAGGTCTCTGGTCTTTCAGAGAAAACCTGATGAGGTGGAGCCCAGCAGCAAATCCTTTCCACATGTTTTAGAACTGGAAGGTGGGAAACAAGGAGAATCAGCAGCTGTGGCAGCTTCTTGCCCTTCCTGATTCAGAGCGTGATCTGGAGTCGTTCCCTGCTAAGAGTGATGTTGTGAACAGTGTTGTTAACACAGACTCCAGCCATCATCAGAAGCCCAGGTTAGACGAATCTGCAGGACCCAAGTGGAAGTACTGGAAGAGGAGCCAATGCAAGTCCCAACCCAGCAATGCAGGTACTTTTTAACACCCTTAAAGGGAAGAAGCAGCAGGAGGGAAATAACCAGTGTGCTCTGTGCCCCCTTCGTATGGGCAGTCACTTAGCCTGTGGTTGATAATAAGGATCATATGTTTTGCATATCAGCCTCTGATCCAAAATTCCCTCCTATGCAACATTTCTTCTCCCTCCTCTTGCACGCTTGCTCTTCTTTTGGTAACTTGTCTAATGGAAAACTACCAGAACACTGAATCTCATGTGGAAGCACAGATACCTCTCGTTGAGTTTCTTCCCCAGCATTTTCCTATGACTTTTTTGATGCTAACATGTTCCTTAACCTGAACAGGTAATCTGAAAGAATTCTTTCATGGTTAGTGAAGTATGTTTCCCTCTCTTCTTAAATGAATGTTCAGAGCTTTAGTTCTGGTTTCACTGTTCATGAGGCTAAGATACAATTTTACTCCCCCCAGAAATCACCAGCTGCAGCAGCACAGGTACAAAGGGCAAGCTGGATTCCAGAGCCATCTCTGTTGTGGACATGTTCCGTGTTGCCCCAGCTGATGGGAGTGTCCCTGAAAATGGACAGTTCTGACCTTCAGTGTATCACAACTAAGACAAAGGGACAAAGGACCAACAGTCTTCTTTTTAGGCTTGGTTTCTTTCTACAGTGGTCCCCTCCTGCTTTAGAAAAACTTGGAAAAAAATCAGTTAGGACATGAATAACAAACAATGCAGGCAGAGAAGAGGAATAAAAAAGCTTTCAGGAAGAAGGGGAAGGTGAAGAAATGGCAGGATGAACAGACACACTGCTCTGCACATGAGCACCATTGGTACAAATAATCAGAAATAAAATGTACTCAAAAAAGTTAAAAAAAAAATACTTATGTACTTAATAAAAATACTTAAGGACTTAAAAAAATGTACTTAAATTAAATGCTACTGTAATTTAAACATAATAAACTGGCATGATTAGGAGGAGATCAATCTGTTAATGACATGTCTTAGTGAGCAGAGGATACACTGGAATGTATTTTGTTTTCTCAATGTTTTATGCAGTCATTTTTAGTGGAAGCCTACTACTTAACTGTATTTTTCATATTTTATTATTTAAACATTCATAATATACACACATTGTACACTTTTGTAATTAATTTCCTAGGAATTTGGAATTTTAATGCCAATAGAGAACTCCAGACCGACATGCTCTGTGTTAGTCAAATGTCCTATTTGTGCCGTAGTGACATGCTTTGCCCTTTGGTAAAACCAGAAAGAAACCAGAGCGGCTTCATTCTAGCTCCAAACCAGCAGCATGAATCACAATAGTGGACACAACTTGATAATACAGAGTATAATGGCATACTTTTATTCCAGGCACGCTGATGCTGCTTATTTTTTAAAAAATAGACTACCAAGGGATTTGTTTTCTGTCTTCCAGGAGGAAGGTTTTGTGGCATCAGGAAAACAAAGATATAAAAGAGTGAGAAAGAAGACAGAGTGATGATAAACATAAAATAACTTGCACAGGAGGGGACAAGCTCAATGATACAGAAGAGGACAGAGAAAAAAACAGCAAAGAGCTTGCTTACAACAAAGCAGAGAGAGACGTGATAAATCAGAATCCAGTAAATAAATGTACAGCTGATGAAGTTCAAGAGCTGAAATTTCAGGTAAACTGCTTACACTATAGCAGTGTTACATTTATTGAGCAAATAAAAGTTCTGGTTTAAGCACTTTCTCTCTAGAATATGGATAACTATTATTTTAATAACTGAAAAATTATTTCTGCCTACATGGAATTTCAGCATTCTCATTCTTTAGGGTTAGGCTTGTATTATATTAAGTCCCTAATTATTTGGATGTGATATCTTTACAGTTCTGGAGAGATCAGGTGAACTACTATTAGCACTAAAAGCCTGAATAGATGCAAAGCAAGAGTCTGTTAAACCTCCAATTTATCTGCAGTCCTCTGGAGATAGCCAGAAGAATTCAGCATAGCAAATTCTCTTTGTAGAAAGCCAGAAGGAATAGAGAAACGACACAAGCTGACAGCCAAAAATATTTTTTTCAGGATTAAAGCAGAAGAGAAAGTAAAGGATATGAAGATAGAGACAGCAAAATTCTGAGATTTGGCATTTAAGCCACAGAACTTGATATTCTCCTCCAAGATTAACTGAAACTAGTTTATAACTGAAACAGTGTAAACCATCAGCTACAGAAAGATAACAGATCTGTACAAATCACGCTACTAATTCTAACTGTGGAATCTGATCTGTTTAGATGTAGAGCTTAGTGATATGGTTTAGTGGGGACTGTTAGTGTTAGGTCAGAGGTTGGACTCGATGATCTTGAGGTCTCTTCCAACCTAGAAATTCTGTGATTCCGTAATATAAACTGTCACCACAAAGACTAAAGTATGTATTTATTCCACTGATTGTATCTTTAATTGTTTAAAATGGAGGAGCCTGGAATTACACAGTCACATAATTGGAATTAAGGCAAACAATGCACAAATATTTATAAAATCAGTGTACAAAGTATGCTGTATATAGCCGCATCAAGTAGAAAACAGATATACAGGCCATAAAAATATAGTCCTCAAGAAGAGGATACTATTAAAGTGCTAACATGAACAAGTAATGCATAGTTCATTACATGCTTTAAAAAAACCCTAGTATTTTATTCCCATGATCGCCAGCGAACGTCATAGAACAAAAGTTAAATCAATACTTTGTCCCTGCACTGACGTCCACCACGTGGGTTTGTTTCACCATGTCCTCGGAGGTTGCTGTGATAGAATAGGTGCCAGGAGAAACTTCAATGTAGATGTCTCTGGAAGCTTTCCTGGTCTGTAGGGGTGGGGAGCGGAGAATACACAAATGTCATTAGATATCTTGAATTTCCCATAAAAATAGAAATTTTGAATTTGGGTGAAAATATTTAATCTGCTACATAAACATTAACTTTTTTCAAAGTACACAGGCAGCACACAGACCAAACTGCAAAATGTTTCTATTAATACAAAAATTAGTGAATGTCAAGGTATTTAATCTATTGATTAAATCAATAGAAATGGAAAATTAGCGATATGGTTTAGTGGAGGACTTGTTAGTGTTAGGTCAGAGGTTGGACTCAATGATCTTGAGGTCTCTTCCAATCTAGACAATTCTGTGATTCTGTGAAATAATCACCATGCTATACTTTCTCCCTCAGAAAACTGAAAGCTGTCAACCTCAACAATTTTGAACATAAACATGGAAGTCATCTATACACCAGGATACTCTCATCAATTTGTGCTGTGGTATAGATTTCCGTGTTTCTCATCTTTTGTGGCTTAGAAGTTCCCCAAATTGATTTGGTGAGGTGTTTGGTTTTGAAAAATCAGGGTTTCTTCTCCTGGGCGAACAGGAGTCTTCAGAAAGACTGTATCAGGGCCAAGCATAACTGGCGAAGCAACTGCTGCACGCATGTGTTGCTTGCCTTTTTTCGGCGTTGGGAATGTGTTGGGAGCACAAATGAGGTGAGAGCGGAGGACTGCTGGATTATTGCTGCTGATGCAAACCACAACAGCCTAAGATTATTCACAATGTCCTGACGTTTTGTATCAGTCCAAAATATTAAACAGATTTAACCAGTTATGTGCCAGAACGTCATGATCGGGGTTACAATTAATTGTGTAAGGCTCTGTTCATTCTTTTGCCCATCTATACGTGCATTACGATTATTGCTGATTAATCTGTGCCATCACAAGATCTCCACACCTGACTGTAAGTTTTAACCAGCTGGATGCAAAATGCTCGGGAAATGCTGTATCTCGATTTAAAAACAAAGTATTCTGCGAACTTACACGCTGAGGGCGAGTTGTAGCTTGGCTGGATTCTGCTGTGGACGCATTTTTCTGGAAAGAAAAAGATGCTGCTTTGTAACGATAACCTCACAGCATGCAAATGTAGCCCCTGAGAGAGGGGTCTGTTACGCTTTCCCCTGCACAAAATGACTGAAATGATTGTAATAGGAATAATTGTGTAGGAATAACCTTTAAGGAATTACAATAGGAATTATTGTGTAGGAATAACCTTTAATTAAAGCAAAGCAGATTCCCACTGACCTCTTCTTTAGAGGGCTTGAACTCTTCTTCCCCTGCTTGTCTGCTGTGGTATCTGCAGATGTGTTTGACTTCGTGCTCGTTGCAGCTCCAGGCCGGCACACACCTGTAGTACTCCTGGACAGCAACGGGAACAGAGAATAAATACCACATGGAGAAGCATCACGGCCATGCTGACAACTTGAGTCTCCTCTCAGGCGAGAGCTGCGTTCGCTAAATGTGCATCAATGTGCAGCTCCCTTCCCTGCAGCTCTGCTGCCACCTGCAGTCCCCGCAGCGCTCCGCAAACTTCCCGCCCCCCGCACCCCCCGCACCTCGCACTCGGCCGCCGCGCGCTGCAGGAGCGCGCCCAGGGACGCGAAGGCCGCGCTGAGGCGCGCCGGGGGCTCCCGCGCCCGCTGCTCCCGCGCCTCCTCTTCCCGCCGCCGCCGCCGCGCCCGCTCCAGCACGGCGCGCGCCATTCCCGCCGTCCGCGCCCCCTCCATGCCGCCGTCACAGTGCGCGCCTGCGCCACGCGGCCCCGCCGCCGCCGCTAGGGGGCGCCGCGGCCACGCCCGCAGCTGAGGTGGGGGGGTGGGGGGGGCGTGGTAAATGGGGAATAAAGGTGAAATTTGGTAAAGGTGGTGGTGTGTCCGAGTGGTTTCGTGGCTGGGGCTGAGCGCGCTGCGCAGGGTGCGGGCAAGCAGCGCCGTGCAGGGGGGCGTTTGCCTGAGCGGCGTTTTGGTTCTGTTGCAGTCAGAGCAATGAAGGCGGGCTCGCCTTTCGCTCAAGGAGTGCTAAATCAGGGAGAATCAGACAGAATCAGACAGAATCAGACCATCACAGACAATTAGGGTTGGAGGAGACCTCCAAGCCACCCGGTCCAAGCCACCCGGTCCAGCCAGCTGCGAGGTTTCGGTGCCTTCCCCCTGTTCTGCAGGGACAGCAGCCGGGCTGGGCGCAGGAAGCTCGCTCTTCCTTCCCTCCCTCCCTCTCTCCCTCCTTCCTTCCTTGCTTCCCTCCTTCCCCGGCTTTATCCTCCTCCTCCTCCTCCTCCTCCCCTCAGCCGCCCGGGGCTGCGCTGTGCGGTGGGAGCGGGTCTCTTTGTTGGCCGCCTGCTTCCCATTAATCTGCCCGTCCCCACTTCCTGCCTGCGCATACTTCTCTCTCTCCCCCCCTCCATCCCCATCTCGCTCCCTTCCCTCCTCCTCCTCCTCCTCCTCCTCCTCCTCCTCCTCCCCTCAGCCCGCTCCGAGCCGCCGCCCGGGCTGAGGGAGCGCCCCGCTGCGCGCCTGGTAAGAGCCGGGGGGAGCCGGGGGGGTGCTGGGGACACGGCCCCTGGCGTGCAGGGCTCCGGTCTGAGGGAGAAGGGGCAGCCGCGGGGCTGTGAGGGGCTGAAGGGAGCGGGAGGAGCCGCCTGGGCTCCCGGGCAAGGCTGCGGGGTCCCCGGGCAGCTCCAGGCGAGGAGCCGGGGGAGCTGCTTCAGCAGGGCGCTGGGTGGGTAAAGCCACAAGGACGGGTCCTGGCTGGCACCCGGCGTTTGTTACCCTCTCGTTTCACTGTAGCACTGATTTGGGGTGATGGGTTTTCCTTCTCAGTGTCCTTAACGTCATTCAGATGGTCTTTAACTTCAGCCAGGCGCTGCACAATCCAGCACAGGCCACCTGGAGTGACCAAAACTTTTGGGAAACAAGGGGTGAAATTGTTGCCGTCTGATCTCTGCTGGTGCGGTGTAGGGTGGGTTGGAGTGGGGTTAAGCAGCCTGTAGGACCGGGTGGTGTTTTGGTGATTTGGGATCGATATGTGTTCAGTAGGTGAAAAAAGTCCATACAGTGCGTGGATAAGTTAACAAAGCAAAAGGAGGTGTGAGTATCTTACATTTAAGATCGGATTTGGGAAAATCATGCGTGTTCAGGAATGTCAAAATTTCACGTTAATTTTCGTGACTGGGTTATGCAGGTGGCAAAATAGAAACCTGTTACCGGCCTGACAGGTGAGAAGAAGATCTGTGCCTTTGGGCATTTGTTTTCCTCCGGCTCTAAGACCAGTTGTTCCAAGCAAAACCAACACCTTTCAGCAGTTATGATTACTTTAGCAAGATACCTAAGCATGTAGCCAAGCACATGCTTTTAGGACCAGTGGCAGTCTGTGCACTCCTGGGAGTCACCAGACTGATGGGGAGCTGTCATCTTCCTTCTGCAGTGGCCCTGGTTTCCCCTGAGCGGGTGGTGAAGCTCCTTGGGGTAGGGGTGATGATATGGGTGGTACTGCGGGACTGGCAAACTCCCACCTGCACCTCGTGTGCAGAAAGAGGGGAATCCTGCTTGGCTTGGCGTCCTTCTGCTCTCCTCGGGGTGATGAACTTCCCCTCAGCTTGCTCGGCACAGCCACTGCCTCTCCCAGTGCTGGGAAGGAGAAGCACCTCCTGTCCTTTCTGATCCTGCCTTTTTTTGCCGTGGCTGCCAGAAACCCTTGCAGTTTCCCTGTAGGCAACTGACTTTTAACATATACTGCAGCATCTAAAGGAGCGCGTGACCCCTTGTTATTGGTGACCCTGCAAGCCATTGTGTAATCTGTTGACTGTAATGTACCATGGCAATTCATTCTTGGGTGGGAAGCCTTGCCAAGGGCTTGATGGAATAGCACGATTTTATCCACTTTATTGTTTTCATTGTGTTTCATAAACATCTAAGACCCTCTGGGAAGAATCACTGGGGCGGCTGGGCCTCCTTTTTTTAATTGCTGGTTAAATAAATGTGGCCAGTTTAAAAAAAAAAAAAAAAAAAAAAAATAGTGGTATGCAGGATCTCAGAATGCCTGGAACTGCTAAACATTCATGTTTAGGAAGCAGGACTATTTTTAGTGTAGGGGCATTTAAAGAAATGATACAAGCCCCTTGTGGAGAGGTCACTGCTAAGTGCGCTGGAGAGCCTGCTTTTAACTGGAGAGCAAAACCAAGTTTCCCACAGCTGAATAAAGTTAGAGACCCAGATCTGTACTTTTCCCACTTAGCTGAAGAGAGAGAGGATGGGCTTCTTGTGAGTGTACAGCAGTGGGAGTGAGGAGGCATGAATCCTTACCTCACACATGCAAAAAAAATAAATAAAAAATCCTGGTCTTGGGGAGACGCTTAGCTTTCTGATTCTTCCCAACCCATGTCTGCAGAGGAGACGTGGGACTGAAAGGCATTTAGTGCTTTCTGAGAAGGGCTAGGAGCTGGCAGCTGGGAGCAGCATGTACCCCTCGGGATCTGTGTCTGGGGGAGGGCGCAGCTCTCCTGAACGCCTCCCTGGCTGCCACCCTCACCTAGAGCTGAAAGAATTGGGGCGAAAGAAGTCTGTAGAAGTATGATGGTTTAAGAGAACGTGGCTTAGGTCAAAGCTACCACTGTGTGCTGGCCCCACCGTGTCGTCCATGGTGTGTCGTGGGTGACCTCATATAATGGAACCAAAATCTGGACTGATCAGACTTCAAAATGTATCAAATGATAGCTGAGTCAAAGTTTTGGTCCAAACTTTGTTGATTTCTTGTTTAACATTAGGTCAGTTTAGGTTATGGATTACTACTATTCTACTGTGCTGCTATACTAGTCTACTTTTTTTTTTTTTTAATGCTGAATGCCATGTGTGTAAGTTTTGTCTCCATGCTGTAAAGCGCATGCAACTGCTGCTTTTCGCATTTTTTGCCTGCAGTTGGGATTTAGTTGGCAGTGTGGATAGAGGCAAGTTTGGGGAACTGAATCCAAATATTTACATTCTCAATTTGGCCTAGGCCTTCTGCTTGTAAACACTCATAGTCACATTGAACTTTGGTGAGGTTATAAGTGGCTGTAGCAGGCCTTGGGGAGTCACACCCTACAAGACCTGAGATTCCCGCTTCTGGGAAGGGTTTCGGATGTATTTTTTGGGTATATGCGTCTCAGCTTGAGAGCTAGTATTTCTCGCTCTTTCCCCTAATCTGACTGCGAAATCTTGTCGTGTATTTTTATTTTTATTATTTTTTTCCCCACATGGAAATGTTTTATGCTAGTGAGATACATCAAACTCAACGTGTCATGAAGACCAGGCAGGACTGCCCCAAGACACAGACTCGGTCAGTCCTTGTCTCCTGGGCTGCTGTTGAACTCTGCCCCAACAGGGAGCGGCTGCAGTGAAGATCTTCCTCCCTCCACGGTCGCCATTTCCCCAGTCCTCGCTTTTTAGGTGGGCTCAAATAAGGTTAGATTTGAACAATGGTGATGTTTGCTCATGGAGAATCAGATTTAAGCCCTCTTTTCCTTCATTTACGTGTTGAAGGGCTGTCACTTCATTAGAAGTTTTTTAATTGCTAGGGACTGAGCCTGTGAGTTTTGCTCTGCATTATCAATTAAACTTTCTGGAGTCCTTGTTACCACAAGCTGTAGAGGTAGGGATCAACTGGTAAGTTAACGCCTTATGGCCAAACCACCCTCTGGGCTCGGCTATGCCTCTCAGTTTGGGTTTGAAGTTTGAAATGATAATTTAGTTGCAGAAAGCTTGTGACTATAGATAGAGGTGACTGGGTTGCAAGGAATTACAGTCTGAGTTCCTGCTCATCACTTGAGGTCAATAACGTTGTATCTGTAGCCAACTGAGCTTTGGAGGAGATTGCTTTAGTTGAATTACATATGTAGATTAACCTAACTTTGCTTTCCGTCTGGAGCTGTTCGGGGAGATGGATGCTGCTTCACAGGGACAGTGCTGTCCACGTGCTCTGCTGTAAGCTCCTGACCGTGCGGATGCGTTGGGGTTGAGGAAAATAGGGTAAGAGGTATTCATTTTAATGCCACCTTTCAGCATTTTTTTGAAGATGTGTTTGTTGGAGCCATTTAGTCCTGCTGAGGGCCTGTCAGCCACAGCAACGGGGCTGAGACTTGAGTGAATTTGTGCAAATGTCCTCAAGGACACACTGGCAGTGCAGTGAGGTTTTGTCGGAAATGCACCCTGTCTGTGTTCACACGCACAGAAACAGGATGTCAGCTTGGTCTTGGTGTATCAGTCTCCCAATTTCTCTTTAAAATGAAGCCGTAGAAATGCTTGATATATGAACATTTATTGTTAGTGTTGGTGCCAACACAGGAAACTAGGTCTTTGAGCTGAAACATTTAACATTATTCCCTAACTCCCATGTTATTAAAAACACTCATTGTGCAAAGTTCTAATACTATTATTCATTTAATCATTCTGACAGGGTCGTCACACTGAGTTAATGGCTTGCATTTTTTTTCCCCTTCAAAGAAGGATTAGTTGTCTTCATGCAACATCCAGTCACAATCACAGGGGACAGATGCCGATTGACTAGCATTGTGCCAAGGGCCCTGCTCGGCCTGCTATTTTAAGTATTAGTGCAGAGACCAAAGTGCTTTAGGAGAGCTGCCCCGGAAGATCTCGCAACCCTGCTTTAGTGAGGAGCAGATGTTCCAGACACGGACTCGCTCCGTTGTTCTGAGAAGTCCTTCAAGTCAGGAGATGGATCTGCCTCTTGACATTTTTGCTTTCAACTTCGTTACTGCTCTGAGGGAGT